GTATGTATGTATGTATGTATGTATGTATGTATGTATGTATGTATGTATGTATGTATGTATGTATGTATGTATGTATGTATGTATGTATGTATGTGTGCATGTGTGTGTGTGTTAAATGTAAACCGCAAAACTATAAACCTTAACCTCTTGAAAACCAGTTCAACCGACAAATATACACAAAACCTTGGGGATCCCCTCCTCATGAGTTGCTAGCTCGAGTCTCCGTATATAAAGTCATTGGAGATTTTTCTGACTATTATTTTCAAGGTCTCATGAGAATTATCGAAGTACACACAAACCGGTCGAACACCATGGTTAAATAAAAGAAGCCCATATAGACATCGCCTTGTTGACAAATATAATTACAACATTGGACTTCTAATGCACAATATTCAAATAACGAGCAGTAAGGTCTGTTTGTTAGCAGCTTAATGAGTTTACAGAAACTCACAGCTTATTCAGTCAGTTTATATGGTTGTTTGGTTTAATGATAAAAAAAATGACTTATTCAATAAGCTTATAGTATGATACTTTATGCAAAAAGACGAGTTTTTTTAGAACCTGCTCCTAGTTAAAAACAAACATCTTCCATCTATGAAAAAACCCTTCCAAACAAAAATCTTCCCAACCATATAGATTAATCCACACAGGCTGCTTTATCCATATAAATCTTAACAGAAAAACAACTCCTTACCTTTGCATTTGCCACTTTCTCTATCACTATCTCATACACCGAAAACCAGTAGAATTCATTCAGCACCTCCCATCTGCTGGCTGGATTCCAGGTTTTGGCAGCTGCACCTGAATGCAACTACACACTCTGCAAACTTTTTGATACCCATAAAACTACAAGATTTATAAGCTACCCCATGGTTATATAATCATAAACAAGAAGCTCTTCATGTTGGAAAGCATGTAAACAATTTTTCATAACAAATTTCTCCTAATTCTTGAAAATTTTCCGTACCGATTTCGTGACCAAATTCTTCCTTTCAATCTCTTGATAACCACAACTTCACCAATCTTCAAGAATGTCATTTCCCTTCCCAATCAACATTGCTTCAGACACCCTGCAAATTATTATGTGTTCCCCCTTTCTTCTTCTTGAATGAGCACCAGACTATTTTCTCTATCCTATAACAATCAAAATACACATTTTATATGCAATGTTATGAATTCAACAAGGAAGAAAAAATGAATTCTTTATACTAAAATGAAATCAAACTTGAAGATCACACAAAAGGATAATAGAGCATGAAGATGAAGATGAAGATGAAGATGAAGAGAAGTAGATCAACAATGGCAGTAAAACGAAGATTGATCCATATTGAATCAAGCAATTGATCACTAACAAAATGCTTAATCATTTGATCACTAATTTCTACACAATCAAAATAACCAGAAACATCTAACGATGAGAACTCAAAAGGATTGAAATCTGATTCAGAAACCAAAAGAAGTTATCAATTAATCTGCATGATCCTTTTATACCGAAATGAAGATCTCCACAATTTCTACACAATCGACCGTTATGATCTAACCACTATAATAACAAATTAAATCAAAGCATCTTATAAGTTATAATTATAATAATAAACAGCAGATCCGGAAACAACACCGATTCAATTCAATAGAACCCGTGAGATCAATCTCTATTCTTCAATTTCTCAATCCTTGCATTCAACTGCTCGATCGTGACAAGCATGTGGGTCACAGAATACAATAGCCAGTAAAAAACCAAAGCGGAGACGATCAACAAGATGTTACGCTGAGTTTTCATAAGGTATTTCTGATCACGTAATTGATCCGTGGGTGTACAGGCTTCAGACGAGTCACAAGTCGGTCGGTTTTCGTATTTCCAGTAGATATCCATGATCAAAAACACACCAAATGGGACGACGGAGAGAAATGGTTTGAGGAGGTTACGAATGACGGCAACTAAGCCCTTCCGGAGCGGACCTAGGCCGGGTAGGGTCAGTAGGAGGACCATCACAGCTTCAGCGCCTGCAGCGTACCCGATTACAATCCATTCTAGAGCCATTGTTGATTGATTTTGTGAAACCTCGATCTGGTATGTGTTTGATGGATTATTGTGAAACGGGGAAGGGAAGAGGAAGATGAAACATAAAAGGAAAACGAATTCCTTACACGGTGTTCAGTCATCGGCGGACACGTGGCAGTCTCCTAGCGAATACAACCCGGATCATACGACCCAATGCATTGTAATTGAAGGTGATATACTTCATATCTATAAAATATATATATATATATATATATATATATATATATATGGATAAGGTGTATCAAATGATTGACGATGAAAAATAAATTATGAGTTAAAAAACAATATATTCAAAGTTGGAAGAATATTTTGATGTACCAACCCCACCAACCCGTATAGTTTGAGTTAGGTTGTTTAAATGCTTTCAACCGGATCAATCCAACCCATCAACACTCATACGGTATACAATATGTTACATAACAATGTCGCTTGGTTTTCTAAATAGCCGTATGTGATCCAGGTATGTGAGCACAATTTGCTGGCCCATGTAGCTCGATCCCTTTTTCCCAATGGTGCTTGGTCGCAGTGACCACGACACAAATGCCACAAATAGTGTATCATAGCTTCTGCATTTTTGTCAGGTTGACGAACACCATAAACGTTTTTAGCATTGCCAAATTACCATGCAATGTAGAGAAAATTACGATTTTCATCTCTATGGTTTGTTAATAATTGCAATTTCCATCCTCGTGCTTTGGAAATTGCAAGTTTCATCCTTATGGTTTGCAATTTATTATTATTTTCATTTATGGACTAATTTCTATCTTAAGTACAAGGGACCAAAACTGTGGAAAATTGTAAACCACAAAGACCAAAACAACACTAAATTGTTAATCATAATAACAAAAATCGCAATGAAATACAAACCATATGGACGAAAATCGCAATTTCTAAACCACAAAAACCAAAACGTAATTTATTCTAAAACTAAATATAAACTTGATACAGCAGTCTTAGATATAGACAATTTAAGCCCGAGAGCGATGTAGGTTCGGCTAAGGTTTTAAAATAGAAATTAGTTAAGGCACCAAACTTTTAGGTCAAGTTAGAAGACCTAATTACCCGAGGACAATTCATAATTTCTAATTGTTACATTAACAACTATATTGTTGTTGGCGGACCAATTATACACGTTATTAAAAATTGTAAATGTAAGACATAAAAGATATCAAATAATAAAATTTAATGAAAGCGAATTATGAAGTTAATGAAATTGCGATACTTTAGATTTTTTTAAATGGGTTGGTACAAGACCAAAACATATTGGTCATATCTGTTTTGGAAGAACAAGGACCAGTTAAGATTACACATGGAAAACACATGTCGGGTTAAGATTCGGATTTTTGCCATCTCTAACGATATGAATTCTTAGGGGCTATTTACCAAATTTTTTATCAAGTCATGTACGGATAAATTTGTCTGTCCGAATAAATGGGTGTTGTTGGTACTTTTTTTTTATCTAAACCAACCGTCAGAATAACACAAATGACCGATTTACTCCCAATTAAACATCAAAACAAAAAATCATAAAAAGATTCACGATATGATGTCTCATTTGTTTAAAAAATAGATAAGCAAAGTGTTACTTACAATTTCAATCTTTTATACACACACTAATAATATATAGACATATATGTAAATCCAACTGTATTATATATGTAGTCACACCACCACCAMGCAGCTGCCAATTCTTTATTTCTCACTGCAAAACAAAAACCAATTTCACATATATTAATATATCATCATAACCAGCTGTCGGATCCAGAATTTTTTTCCAGTCAGTGATACAATTTGATTATAAAAAATATTTATTTTTTTTATAATATTAGTTAGAGTTGTTAATTGGTTCTTTATCCTTGCATAGAAAAGACTTGTGTTCGAATCCAGTCTACATATATTTTTAAAAACACGAGATATATAAAAAAAACAACAAATTTACCATCTTAGCTATTAAAGTTTTGTGCTATCATTTCAGTTTCAAAAAATTATATGGTAACACCCAACAAAACAATACAGAGATGGTCCGTGCACCGTATCCTTACATGTGGGTCCGCTCCTAGATCATAATAATTATTAACTATAAATTACCTTATGGGCTTCTTTGTGGACTTGGCTAATTTATCTTGTGCCATCTTTTCGAACAAGCTTCCATCATAAACAGCTCTAACGGTCTCCTTGCTCAATAATCCATTCTTGTCCTTCCCTAGATAATACAAGATCTTCCATTCTGTAAGACCTCCAATCCTACGTATATACAACACCACCATCCACTTAATTACCGACTAATTAAACCAGATTAAACGAGTCAATTATTATATGATTACCATCCTCCGTAGTCCTTGGGTTCTCGGTTTCCTTTGATAAGTTGGTCCAGTTCTGATGATGTTAACGAATCTGAATTCGTGCGTGCGTACTTATGAAATATCTCCTCAAACTTTGAGGCAACAAACCTACGTAAGTAGCAACGATCTAATCAACTAATCGTATTCTAATTTATATATGATTTTTGAATATATAGAGACGTACCTTCCATGAGTGTCGTAGACTCCAGAGTCACTGCCATGTTTGGCCATATTTATGTTTTGGATCTCGATCGGGAACAACAGATTGGGAAACTTCTTTCCCTACAAGATTAAAACCATTACTCTTCCTTCAATCATCAATCTTAATAATTGAATTTCAAGAAAAAGCAACCAACTTTCTGGATATATAAAATACAAAATAATATAAACAAAAAGATTCGTGTGTAACAATCAATTTCAAAATAATGGTATAGAAAAGCGACAGCATATATATAAGAAACCAACCAAGTCTTTCGTTTCAGCTTTCAAGTCAAGTTAAGCCATGTTATAAGGCATGACTTATAGCGGAAAATATCTATATCATACATAGGCGAACGATTGTGTGAGAAAGGAAGTTATGATATGAAGCGTAAGGACTGAACCCTTGATCACTTATAATCTCATATCCACCCATGAATTGTGCTTTAGAAAGGAAATTGGTCCGTTGCATCTCAGTAGTATCACATTAAGAAAACCTTATCACATATGATAATACACATGAGCGGGCTTAGTGGTGTAAGAGTTCTTGACCCACAACCTAATCATCCCAAAGGTCGTCCGCATCTCTGATTTAGAATCACGTTAGTATCATATGTGATGGAATATAATATCACATGTAATTTTCTACAGTAAAAAGGGTGTTCTCACATTCTTGTAAAATGAATGTATTCTCGTTTGAAACCTTCCGTGTGTGTGTGTGTATATATATGTATATATATTAAAAACTAACAAACAGAACATTAAAATGATAAGAAAAATCAGATATCATGCTACTAAAACCGCACATTAGACCATGTCGTACCGTACGATAAGCTTAACATGGTGTGAGGCAGATGTCTTGAGGCAGACGCAATATGACGGCTTCTGTGAAGAGCCTTTTATAACATAGTCATGAACAATTTGCAATAATTGTTAGAGCGTCTTCAGGGAGGAGGTTTTTGGATCTGGTGGACCAGTTCATAACTTACTATTAAGAGGAAATGGTACTTGTCAAAGTGGAAGAGACAGTACTAGACATGAAACTGTTCTTCATTAAATGGTGGGACCCAATTTAATTAATAGAAAATAATTAGAATTTAGATGTTTATTAAACCTAGATATCCAACCCGCTATATGAGTCGACTAATCCTAAGACGACCACCCGACAGGGACGGACCTATAGTGGTGCATACGGTGGCACGTGCCACCGTATTATTCCTCCATCGAAGGATAAAAAAGTTTAGGTTCGTGAACGGTGCAACCTTAATTTGTTGTGTGTCGCCGTAAATATTTTGAAACTACAATGAGAACAAGTTTTATTTGGTAGAGTTAGTTTACAAAGCTTTTATTCCACCCCAAACCCAAGTTCGAAACATGTTAGGGTCGTTTTCTTAGTCAAATGATACCACTGTTTGATTTTTTTTTCTTCAAATATTTGTTTCTTATAGTCAAACGGTGTCATCATTTGAAATTTTCTCACTATATTTTTTTATAGTCAAATGATACCACTGTTTAAAAAGTTATATGGGTCCGTCCCTGCAACCCACTTCACGGATAGCCCGAAGTCAACGCATTTGAACCTCCATGGCCACAAGGGGATTTTTATTCTTTCTTGGATTCGAACACTTCCAGACACTTTTGACCTTTGGAACCCAAGCTCAAACCAATCGAACACCACCCTTATGGTTAGAATTTAGATTATGAACCGGTACTTTTGGTATTTTAATTTGTTTTTATATAAAGAAATTTATATTTAGTTAGTAACTAAGTATTGAAATTTTAGATTATAAGAAACATCTGTACAACTTTTCACTACATACAAGATTTTAGGAGACGTTTACCGGATAAACGTTTATCAGGTGTCATTTATTTTACTGAGTTAGATCAAGAATCTCACCTTAAAAGGCATAGCGATGACCAGAACTCTATACTTGGTAAGTGATGACGAATACTTTTATCAAGAACTTGTTTTTATGATTGAGAATGTTACCCATAAAGTAAACGATGATGATCATTCTTGCCGCTAACCGTTTACCTGGTAAGTGTTTTTATAACTGCTATGTTTTCTTTAATTATATCAATGACATAACACATTCTCTAAAATTAATGAAGGAAAATAATTTCCTAACTACAAATCCAAACAAAATACATTCTATTTTAATACAATTTACCATTTTCAAAAGTATTAACTTAAAGTAACATAAACCTAGACTTTTGAATTCAGATCCCAATAATCAATATAAAAACCTGATTTGAATAAACAATAGTAGAATGTTTGTTTACTGTAGCAACTGATCATTTGAACGTGATTCATGACAGAAGAAATCATGCAAACCATAAATAAAGGGAGATAGATGCAGAGATTAGATACATACTGGGCGAGTTTTGCCACTTAGACCCATGTTGATGAAGATGGCAGCAACTGAAGATAACAGAATACCACTCCCAATTGCTCGAAACCCTAATTGCACCATGGGACGATATCAATCAATTAACGAAATAATCGAATGAAAATTTCAGTAACCACTTCTCAGAAACACCTAATCGAGGACGGGGATTTGGAAGTAAAAGTTAATGCAAAATTGAACCAACCTTGAAAAGTTTCCCAAGGGTAAACCACACCATCCTTGTTACGGTCAAAGAACGCACAATGCTTTTGTAAGGCGTTTTGATTGCTATCGACTGCTGCATTCATTTACGAAACCAATTGAACAACTAAACTCGAACTGAAGTAAAACAACAAAATCAAACTTAAATATAGAGATTGATAATAACCGTTTACATTAATACCTTCAAACTGATGAGACTTTACAGCCATAGAATTGAAAGATGCTTTGCTTAATTATTAAGCCTGAAATGCGTATAAGCTGATTACGGAATTGCGTGTTTGTGAAGACGAAAGATGTATGAATGAAATTGGAGAATCGATGAGAATGATGAAAAGGGTTTTTATAATGGGATTCACGAAAGAGATGTGAGTCGTCACAATGGAGTTTGCCACTTTTCCCAATGAAAATTTACCGTCAAGGCCCCCCAAATCCCTAATTGAAATTTTTCCCTCTTTTCTTTCAGCCGGCGTGAAGCATGAAGCACTATAAATTATTGTTTTGGTCTTTTTGGTAGTTTTATTATAAGATCCAATCAGGGGGGGGGGGACCTCTTAACTATTAAGCTTTGGGTGGAGTTTTTGGTGTATCTGTTTAATTTATTGCAGTACAGATGGTTCTAAATTTTTTATTATAAGATGAAAACGAGAAAATAATGTAATTTTTTTGTTAAAATGAAAATTTGGAAATTTGTTGAGTATTTTGTCGTATTAGAAGGACTGAACGTGTAGTTTTAAAAAAGTTGGTTTTATAAAATTCAAACGTGTAATTTAAGAAGTTGTATATACTTATGTGGTAAATTTTAAGGAACTATGCATTAATACACAACACATAATGTTTTTTTAATATAAAAATAAACAATATTAAGAGTTTTTATCAAATGTTTTATAATATGTTATAGATAACATAGTTTTTTATTTTAACTCGTAACCATTAATAAGAAAATCCTCAAAAGAATAATCAATTTGATAGAATTGTAGAATCAAACTATTAATAAGAAATCATTTATGTAAATAGGATTTATGTGCACTTTAACAGTTGGTTCCAGGATGGTCGACTTGTACATACATGTGTTCGACAAAAGTAAAAAGTTATAAGATTGAATAAAATAGGATGTCTCGGAGTAAAATAAAGTAATTCAAATGGTAATTTAGAAACCCGTTTTACATTGATCTGCATGTTTTAAAGTGTCTTACTTAAAGCACATGTTAATTATTTCTTAACTAAAATTTACGCATAAATAATTAATACTTAATTTCTTTCTATGAAGTTGTCGAATCATTATTCTTATGTTTAAATATAAAACGTATTTAATCTAACCAATAATCTTACAAATGAACATCAGTGACATAAAAATGTAAAATGAACAAACATTGTAAACTTTTCTAATAAAGGAGATGTCGTGTTTGTAGAGATATTCCAAATTGAAATTATTTTATCGTTGATAAGAGACAAGCATCATTGATTGTGGAAAATAATAATTTCCATTTTTAGCTTTAAAATGTTTTATATTAATTACGGATGACAATTTATTTAACCGTAGAAATTATATTTTGATGTTGGTAATAATACCAATTATTTTTTAACGGTTTTAAATATTTATAGAAAAAATAATTGACCGTTGCAGTATTAGTCGTATTTTGGTAAACAATAATTATGGCCAACTTGTACGATATATATCTATTCAAGTTTGAATTAAAAATTATTGTAATTCTAGATTGTTTATTGTCTTGCTAAATACATACTAGTGTGGGAACTGCACGTTATACGATGGCATGAGTATTTTGATTAATGATCTGAAGATTGTCTATATAAATATATATATATATATATATATATATATATGTTAGTTGCTAATAGACTCGTCAACAAATAGTATTCAAATAATTTAAAAAAGTTAATAAAATTTAATTAGTGAAGGGCAGATGAGATGACTAACGGAAAAGAATCCAACGAGTATTTTGATTAATGATCTGAAGATTGTCTATATAAATATATATATATATATATATATATATATATATATGTTAGTTGCTAATAGACTCGTCAACAAATAGTATTCAAATAATTTAAAAAAGTTAATAAAATTTAATTAGTGAAGGGCAGATGAGATGACTAACGGAAAAGAATCCAACGATGTTAAGTAAACTAACCAATTTGTCATAAAAAAAACATAAAAATGAACTACTGACATTTTTAATTTATTTGAAGGACCTAAACATAAAAAATTAATCTATTGTAAATAATATATTGGTTTTTGGTTAATATACATAAATACAATAGAATTATATGAAACAATAAAAAACCTACTTTAACATTGTTTTTAAATTCTTAAATATAAACATGTATTTATTGAATGAAAATAATTTATTACTTTACAATAATTATTTAATTAATAAAGTATTTGGTATAAATTATAGTTAATCATATTTTATTTCCATTTAATTGAAATACAGTTTTATATGGATGTATCATTTAAGAATTTGGTTAAAAATTATAATATATAAGTTGGATCTCGGAAGCAGACCGGTTCCTGCTTTCCAATCGAGAGATGCAGCAAATAACATCTTTCTAGCCTGCATATTCGTGGAACTCAATCTCATTTAGAAAGTCTTCTCTCTATCTTTCAGTAACTGAACGGAAAGCAGTACAACTGTTGCCATATCTGCTTTAACCTCAGGTAATTGATACTTTCAGGGAGATCAAGATCATCATTTCCAGTAAAGTCGTGGAACCAGCTTCCATCTAAAAACAAGGATGATTGGTTTCCTTCGGTCTTTTTCCTTAGCACAGAAGCAACGGATATGGAATCGTTTTTCTCTAGCTTGGAAGTAATTTCTAAAACTAAAATGACATTCCCAAAATTGTGTTTGTGATAGATTGACGGTTTGGTATCTGGCTTTTTCTTTTTACAATCGAATAAATCAATATTTATTTATTACTTTCAAGAATAAACATTTTTTTAAATAAAACAAATTAATATGAAACACTTGGAATCACTTTTTGAACTTTTTAGTTTTCAAAAATTAAAAAAAAAGTTAGGATCTCTTTTACTTTCCAACCCTTTTCTTATACATTTAGGTATTTAATGAGTTAGTATCGTATAAAATAAGGTTTTAAAAAATATTGATAATATTTATTTTGTAATAATCGATTAATAAAAGTGTAATTTAATTATTCTTTTAATTATTTGTAATTTTTTAATAAATTATTTATAGACAGTGAAATTCAATTGTGTTGGTCCCAAAAGGGTCTACAAGAATACTAAACAGGTTGTAGAAGGGGGGGGATGAATACAAACACAATTTTCAAATTTAAAATATATATTGATAAAGAAGATCAATACAGATTTTACAAGATTGTTTGCGGAAAGATAAGTTG